GTTGCTTCTATACTAATTTTAGTGTATGTCCTGCTTTGCATACATTTTATACACAACACTTACATCACTTACTTATACCAAGTTAAATAATTAGAATATCTAGATTAATACTCTTTACAACCAAGGGCACCGGCCTGGTTGATCTTCAGGCTTATAAAATCTTACTTAGTTTTCATAATCCTGAAACATACTTATTGAAGCCTTTTGCAAACAAACAAATAAACACAGAATTAAAGAGTTGGACAAGACTAAACGACCGAACAATAAAAAAAGAGGAAGTCTAAAGAGAACCAAGAGTTTTTCTGGACAAAATTCAGCTCCTAATTACTCCTAGCATTCTGTAGGTGGATCATTGTTCAAAACAGCTTTTACCCTTGCTGATTTATTACAAACCTCACAGTGATCTACCTGCCATTAGATCCTAGTAGATCTCTACCCACCCCTAGTATACACTGATTGGCACCAGCTCACCAAGAATGCTGGTAGAAGCCTTACCTCAGCCTATTTGAAAATGCTAGGTAGCGCTGACATTTGCATGTACCATACTATTGAGCTATGCATACATTATAGTAATGAGAACTATATGAGTGGAAGCCAACATTGTTAGAGAAGATTACAGGAGGTATTGGCAAACTTCCTAGTAGAGATCCATTTAAAATGGCCTTTATTTGTATACACCTTAGGATTTAACACTGCTGGAACAAAAAACATGAGGCTGAGGGGGCAGTTCATAGGCCAACTAACTTGAGTCTGCAAGGGGAATTGCACAATTTAATATTTGTGTGTAATTAAGGAAAGTTGCATGGTGAGTGAAAGGCACAACCAAACCTTTTGTCTTAGAGTACTAGCTTTCTGTGAACAGGAGTTGTAAAGAGTAAACAGCTAGTTCTTCTTTGCCATCAGAAGTACAGGAGGACCCCCTTATCCACGGGACCAGTATCCACTGATTCACTTATCTATGGTCTGAAAATATTTTTTTTAAAAAGAAAAAATCCAGAAAAAAACTTTTCACATGTATTACCAGAACCTGCCATTAGAAGGAAACAGAGACTGTGCCATGAATACTTGTTAGTGAAGAATGCATAGCATGGTTTCTGGCACCCTCTAGTGGCTAGTTCTGGTAATGGATGTGAACATAGAGTAATTGTTTTCCTGGCTTTTTCCTTTTACAGTGGTGCCTCGCATAACGAGTGCACCGTATAATGAAGAATCCGCATAGCGATCACTTCTCCGTATAGAGTAATTGTTTTCCTGGCTTTTACTATGCTATATACAGTATAGCATTTCCTATTATCTGTAGTTTTCAGTATCCATGGGGAGCTTGGAACCAATCCCCAGTAGATATGAGGGGTCCTATTGTATTAGCATCCAGGAAAAGATTAATTTTTTGAATTCGCTGAATATATAACATGGCTATTAGTAAACTGAACTGCTTAAAACAGGAGGTTGGGTACTGAATTCCCACAATCCCTTGTTATCATTGGGCATGATAATTGAGCTGAAATGAATTGTCATTTCAAATATCTGGGGAGCTAAAGATTCCCTATCCTGAGCTTCAAATTATGAATACCTTCTAGGACAAACAGGGAGAAGATGTGAAAAATAGACCTTCGCTTTCCAAGGGAATAGAGAACAATATTTTATGCCTTTTATAGGAAAGGTACATCAGTTTACTGCAGACTATTGAAGCTAGCCAGAACCACTGAAGGAAACAGGGCTTGTACCTGCTACCTTTTAACACACTGGGACTGAGCCAAGGAATAAAAGTGGGCATCTTATGCTAATGGCACTCTTGTTATTATTGGCTAATCTTTACAAGTCAGTTTTAAGTCTGACAGCCTTAATCAAATAATTTGGCTGTATTTCTGAATATAAGATCAGCCAGAATGAATGGGTGCCACATTAGCAGGATAGTGCTGCTTTTTATTCCTCTTCTTCTATTAATTGATTGCTTACGTGGAGATCCTTTGCCTCTTAAGTTTCTAGTGATTACTGCTCTTGAAATTGTGAGAAGCATAGTAAAGTTCATTTTAAGATACAGTACTCTGGTAGGCAGAAATGAGATAAGCTAGGCCAACTGGTTAGAACTTGAGTTTTTGGGACTGCATTAGAGTCCCATTTTGGGTATTTCTAGCAGCTCAGACACATCCTGGGGACAATTAGATGCAGATGAAGTATCTCTCAGGGTTTTGCTAAAGAAAGAGTCACCTGGACATTGAATCTTTATGGTTGGGCTACCCAGGGATAAAACCTTTGTTTTGGAACACAGTTCATATTCACAGTAGTTGTTACTACCATAACGTTTTCTCCCCTGGTCGCTCATTCTAAATGTGCCCCATACAATCATGCTAAGCTTTTGCTGTGAGATTATAATCATCATCTAACTCCAGAACTGGAAGGGGCTCTATGCATCACTCCAACACTAAAATTAGCAAGAAGCCCATACCAGGTCTGAGTTGGACCTAACTTACCACATCCAGTTTTCATTTTAATTCCTTTCTGGCATTCCATCAAGAATCCGGACTCCAATGAGCTAGTGTTAAGACATTACTTGCAAATGAAACACTGATCAGCAGTTGGGCTGGGGCAGATGTGCTTGGGCTAGCTGAACTCTCTGGTATAATTGACTGAAAGAGCAGGTCTACACTGTGCTTTATCATAATTAAATCTTGTGGCACCTTGAAGACTAAGCATATGATTTCCTGAACTGTAGACCACTTCATCACATGCATCACAGGCTTGGGCAGAAGGTTTTCTTTCCAAAATGCAAGAAGACTTGCCACAGTTTTTGCTGCAACAGACTAACATGGCTTCCTCCCCTCCTCCTTTTTGTAGTAATTACCAATCTGAGAAGAGATACTTCCAATTTTAGATATAGGCACATTAAAGTGGACCTACAAGCAAAAAAGTGATTATGCTGGCTCAGTGAGAGCGTGTCTACCATTGTAATAAAAGATGGAGGCAATGGATTTCAGCATGAGTGGGGGAAATATGAAACTCCAGATGTGCTGTAAGTGCTATACTTTTTCAAGAATAGCTATGCCAAGTAACACTTATGAGAGTTTCACTTTCAACATCTACTGAACCATAATCCCTCCTTTATACTTACCCTTGGAAGGTAAATGTAAGTCAGGATTGACTTCGTGGCACATAATTTTACACAGACTAGATGGCAAAGAGGCCGCATCTAAGGGAGATGCTAGTTGTGTTTTCAAGATGCTTCTAACTCAGAAGTATCTTACATATTTTGATACATAAAGACTTTTTATTTATTTAATTACTTAACTGCTTCTACCTATTTTTATTCGATTTTTAAGGTATCAAAGTGCGGCAGATGATAAACTAGTGAGGTGTAACAGAAAAGGGGGGGATGAAATGGGTTGTTCATGTGCCTTATCAGATAGATGGCTGGAGTAATTTATGCCATCAAAAATCAGTTTGCTCCTTGAATATTATTTATTCACAGTTAAATGTCACAGTTATGCTGGTAGGGCCCTAAGAAGCAACAAGTTTAGGAAGACTCAGAAGATGTGATTTAAAAGATCTTGAGGTGAATAGGACATAGGTCTCCATTTCAGAAGTTGAGCTACACCGAAGCATTGCCAGGATTTCCAGTATCATTACTGTCTAGTGAGTTGGCTTTTTAGATGGAAGGCTAAAACCAGGGCTAAGATTCAAAAAGGAAGGTAGAAATCATGCCAGCACTGGAAGGCTGTGTTCCAAAACAGCCTGCTAATTTGCAAGCTACACTTTGCAGAGGGAACCAGTCTTATATCTGCACCTTGAAGCTGAAATGTGCTGGACAGCTGTCACCTGGGAAGAGTAGTTTTGAATTATTGCACATGGCAGCTGTCAACCTGATGGAAAGATGCTTGGGGCTGTGGCTCATCAGAAGAATTAAATGGCATTTCCATTCCACCAACTGAGAAAAACAAAAATAGCTTGTTTGGGTGGCTGTAATGCATGAACTAGTTATTAAAAATGAATGGGGTCTATTACAGAAATTCAAGAGCAGTAGAGACAACGCATTAGGAAAAATGCATTACTTATTCTCTCATTTTCCATCCTTTTTGTTATAGCTCTGTGAATTGCCCCAGGTGAGGATGTGAATATTGCTCAGTATGCAAACACAAAACTGTGCACTGTGCACACTGATCCCAATTTAAGTAATGTCTAGACAAAGGGGGGGATCTGTAATAAATAGCCAAGGGCTCTACTGCCACTTTCTAATCTCCTTTTCTCTTTTGTCAAAGATAAGGCACCATTAAAGGCATGCTAACTCTTAACTAATGGTCTGCTGCAGCCAATCACTCCACAAAGTTCTTGAGCCAGTGGGCAGAATCCCATTGGCGCCAGGATTCTGCCCACTGGCTCAAGAACTTTGTGGAGTGATTGACTGCAGCAGACCATAATTATTTCCAGCACTACTAAATCTGGGTGCTGGAAATAATTATGCATTAATTGAAAACCTCTTTCCCTACCCCCATTTCAAGTTCCAAGGTTCTCTTTGACCAGGAAAAGACTTTGGAAACCATGGGATGGTGGGAGAAAACCTTTAGAAGTCAAAAATCACCAGCAGCAGCCTTGACCCAAGACAGGTTAGGTGTCTGGCTGCGTTGACAGAGTCTGGGGGTTCTATTCCCAACTGGGCCTCCTTGACAGGGGCTGCACTTGATCCAAAGGGTCCCTTTCAGCTCTGCAGTTCTATGGTGATGATGAAAACCTGAAAAGCCATTGACATAGAGGCATATTGAATGAGGGGCCCTAGTGATCAGACCCAGCTTAAGACAGCTTCTATGTTCTGGAGGTGAAGAAATTTTTCTTTCTTCAGTACTTTAAAGTTCCATGATTGGAGAAAAAAAAAAGCACCAATATCCAAGGGAACACTCTACATTTGCTCAAAGGCACCAAGTCTAGCCGAACAAAGCTTAACATCAATGTATACTCAGAGCTCCAACACCCTTGCTGGCTCATGCACAAAAGAGGAAACAGGAAACGTCTGTATTTAAAGTATGTTTATTCTTGAGTGATACCCAGTAGTCCCAAAACAGTAACCGTAGCCACACAGATGTCAACCCCAAAGCCATAAGTAATACAGAAGAGATGCACCATTACAATTTTGCTGGGGAACAAAAAAGCTTGCACACTTTCTTTCCTCCACAATTTTATGCGTCTGCTATTTGAGCAGGAAAGCCTCCTGCTCAAATGGTAGACAATTTTGTCATTTCAGCACAGCCTTCCTTCCACTGCATACCAGAACACGCAATCATATTAAAGGTGAGCAATGCACCCTGAAATACCAGGTATACACAACATAGCAAGAGAACAACACAGCATGCTTGGCTCCTTACTGGGAAAGCTTTCCCCAGCCATTAGAGTCCGTAGTCACAGGCCTCATGGCTGTTCTTCAGATACAACTCAAGGTAGCCTTTGAACGTCTGAGAGTCTGTGATTGTAGCCTGAACAGCTGGATCCCTCTTCATGTCTTCAACCCAGCGCTTTATGGCTGGAGTGTGTTCCAGACAGCTGTGAAGAGGGAAAAAAGTCAAGAAAAATCTCTCTCTGTTTGGCTACTTTGTCGTCAAAGACGGAAAAAAAAGACTGCCGCTCGGTGCTGAGAACTGGGAACAACCCTCTTGTCTGCATCCCCAGAGAGCAGCTACTAGGTGTAAACCAGGGTGGACAAAGTGTGGATTTTCCAGATGTTGCTGGACTGCAGCTTCCATCAGTCCAAGCCAACACAGCCAATAATAAAGAACATGGAAAGCTGCGATCCAACATCTAGAGAGGGCTGCTTACTCCTGGTATAAAACATGTGGAGTTAGACCCATGGTGTGATTTTGTGAAAAGCAACTCCCTAGATTCTTAACTGTGCATGAAGAGGCACTGTGGGGTTGGCCTACTGATAAGAATGGCCAGAAAACTTAACTTTTCCCAGCTCTGTGAAAGGCAACCTGGTCCCAGGTTTCTCCTTCCAGGGTGTCCCAGAAAAGGCACATTTCTTGCAATGGGCTATATACAGTGAGACTGTCCGCAGACATCAAATGAAGTAAGTTGTTCCCTGGAGAGGTTGCTCCACAAGACTTAACTTGGAGCAGAATAAACAAGTTCTTGCTTCTGTTGCCTTTTAGAAAAGGAGGACGAAAGATCTTCCAAGGGATAATGATTCCATACCAGTAGGTGAGAGCTGAACTGAGGTTCAGACCTAATTTTCTGCTGAAGAATAAAAGGTGCAGCCTGAACTACTCATCCTTTCTAACTGACTGAATAGGCATTAAGACCACTCTCTCTCAACAAAGTGAATTCCTTACAGAAATCCTGAAACAGCTACAGTAGGCTGACATTGTCAGGGATGGGTGGCTGCTGGAGGATAAAGTCAGACTGTCAAGGGAATTTGATACTTCCTTATTAGTCTACAAACCTCAAAGCGGAGTTTGACCCTCTTTATTCTTCCTGAGTATTTTCATGATAATCCTTTCACAGTAGCTGCACAGGAGTCTAGTTCTCTGTGCACCACTATGGCTTTTACGTTAGCTTACCATGGGAAACGAGTGTAAAAACCATATAGGAATAGCATCATTATTTGCTGATACATTCAAGCGAAAGAAACCCTAACCCCCACCTCACAGATTATAGTACAGTAGGAGGATTAAGTACTCTCTCGGCAACAGTATCCAACACTCTCACAAACTACTCCAAGGCATTAGCCAAGGCAGTGTGGGGAACATATGCCCCTCCAGATGTGTATGAAATACAACTCCCATAATCCCTTAGCTACACCAGTTAAAGCTAATGAGAGGTACAGGCTCTAAACACCAGAATCAGAGTCTTACTGTGAACTGTCATGTACATAAGGGGAATTGCACAAGTGCTTTTCATATTCTACCAGCCACCGGTCATACCGAGGAATGTGCAAGTAACTCAACAGTCAGCCAGCAAGACTGCACACACCTCCCAGGATTCTGGCTTCAGAAAGCTGGCATTACCTATCCCTAACTTAGAGATTGAAGGAAACTGAACATTTGGAAGTGTAAGAGGAATAAAAGTTTCAAAGGGCTTACTCAAGTGTCTGGAAGATCTCCATGCGCTCAAACCACGGCCAGATCAGGTAGTCAATCATGGACACAGAGTTGCCACCAAAGAACTTACTCTTGCCGTTGGCTAGCATCTGCAAAGGAAGCAGCCATGTGAGATCTTCAAGCATCACACAAAACATACTGTGAACACGCTGAGAAAATAAAGACCGACTGTTTGCTCCAGTCTGGGAAAAGATGCAAGAAGCATAATGAAAACTTACCAGGACTGCAACTGAATTAAGAGGTCATATGGCTGCTGCATAAAACATGTGTGGGTGAAGAGTACCTATTCTGGAATAAACACCTAGCTTTCAAAAATAAAAATATCCTACTGTCTGACAGAAGCAAATTTATACAGGTGTGAACATGACTCCCTCTAGTGGACAGCAGCAAAAGAGCCTTCTATACACATCAGCTGAAGTCACCCAGAATAAGCCAACAACAGTTCTGGGGTGAGAATAAGTACACTGATTTAAATGTGCTCACATCAAATGCTTTTAGTAGAATATCAGACTTCCCTTGTCCAAAAAAATCATGAAGTACAACCATGAAAACAAGACATGAGGTGCAATTCAGTGTGGTCCTTACATCATCTTCCACCCGTCTTTCCGAGAACAGACAGAAGGGGATATATGGATGATTATTAGGAGATGTATGCCTAGATTCAGCCTGAATGCCAGATGCCCTCTGGCACATGAACCTAATTAGCATTCTTACTAGGAAAGAAAGCTATAATTATAGCTAAATATCTCAAATTCTCACCTCTTCAAGTTTGAGAAGGATGGCACAATATTCGTTCTTCAGAGCAGACACATCTTCTCCACTCCTAATAGCCATAAGGCACTTGAAGCTCAGAGAAGGTATCTAATCAAAGCAGAAACAGCAGAGTCACCAAGGTGTAGAAAGAAACTGTAGCATTATAATTCAAGGACCATAGATAGGCTAAGTTAGTAGTGAAAATAAAGAAAAAGCCACCACCAAAATTATGGAGGGAGATATTTTTATCTCATACAGTCATGCCAACAGGAGGGGCATGAGTTATAATTCTGTGAGGCCTCCACAAAGCTGATAGCCCTTCATCTATGCCAGTGATTCCCAACTGGGGTACACATACCTCAAGGGGTAAAAACCAGAACATTTAGAGGTACACAAATAAAACTGAGTAATGGCAAAAAACGGCACATATGTTCACAGTGTTAGACAAAATACACATACATTTCAACTCACATTTCTGCCATGCATTCAGAATACAGTGAACACAGACTCTTTTAGAAATACATGATGCCAATTTATTTCATTTATTAAAGCAATTCGGTAGGCTAAGTACCACCAAAGGCACAGAATAATTTTGGGATAGATTAAATATGACATATGTTTTTAAGAAGACTCCAAGAAATGAAGGATCTCCACTTCAAGAATAATGGGCTATTTAAAGAACATACCTCTCGCTAATATAATAATAATAATAAGAAGAAGAAGAAGAAGAAGAAGTAGAAGAAGAAGAAGAAGAAGAAGAAGAAAAAGAAGAAGAAGAAGAAGAAGAAGAAGCAGAAGAAGAAGCAGAAGAAGCAGAAGAAGCAGAAGAAGAAGAAGAAGAAGAAGAAGTATATACACATACAACGAAATTCACGTACAATTGCACTCATTTCATAATACAAGATGCTGTAAGTTCTCTCGTTTTAGTTTGTTGCCAATTGTAATTACTTAAAAATTCTATTTAAAAAGTGGAAGGAATGGTTTCTTGACATCCTTCAGTACACACCTTTGAAAAATGTTCCAACAGCATCTTCTGATATGCTTTCTCATAAGGGTCTGTAGGGTATAGCTTCTTCTCTGGGTACGCTTCATCTAAATATTCACAAGTGATTGGTGACTCATAGATCAGCTGTCCCTTACTTGTCTCCAGCACAGGTACTAATCCAGAGGGATTTTTCTCAAAAAACCAATCTGGCTTGTTTTTCAAGTTGATATTGACAATTTCATGGCTTTAAAATGACAGGAAGAAGCACAGCAATTACTTTCACCAGCAGTCTGATGTTATACAGGTGCAATCTCAATACAATAATCTTGATCACGCAAGTTTCTAAGAACTGTCCAATCGTCTCTGGTTGTATGCAGTTTTCAAGCAGTTAGTTTTGATCTAACCCTTAACCTTGGGGAACTAGAAGACAATAGTTAAGATCATGACTTCAACATTGCATTATTTATACTGGAGACTTACATCTTGTGTTTCCACTGCTGCATTAGAAACATACAGCAGAATCAACAAAAAAAGTTAGCATAATAAAAATGGAAAAAAGTTGCCCGAGATTTAACTATCAATATTTAGTGCTTTTAGATCTAATCAGTTGTGATCAGTTAAGATCCTGCAACAGTGCTTTAACTCTCTGATGCCCATTTTGCCTTAGATTTCTTTCCGTGCTGTTTCTGTTCTCCATTTTTTAGTATTTTAATACATTATACACCACCTGGAGATCTCTGGCTATGAGCTTATAAAAGTACAATGGTAAGTAAATTTAAATGTAAAAGGCTAGCATCAGTCACCAAACAGTGCAAAATTTGGAGGCTATGCTACCTTCCTGGAATGTTTTGAATAAATGTGTCACCTTCTCAAAACTCATATTGCTTTTTGTCTATATATAGTTCTCCATTTGGCATCACAAAAGAGCCAGTCTGTGTGGCTTTGTGCAAAGTGCATAGCCCCACGATACCTCCAGAAGAAAGGTTAAACCACTTCCAAGTACACTCTACCTAGAAAACCATAAAAAGGGTTGCCATAAGTCAGGATTGATCTGATGGCACACAATTATTATTATGTACTCAGCACAGTGACTGCTGTGTGATTTATCTCAACAGAAACAGAAAAGTCTAATTTTTCTGAGATGGAAAATGCTGAACAGGATCTAGCTTTACACAGCTGCATGTGCAATTTTATAAACGCCTCTATAAATTTAAAAGGGCAAACACATGATCTTACTTGATGCCTTTGGCTTTTAGGACTAGCCGTGTTCTCTGTGCAAATGGACAGTAATGCATACTGTAGAGCCGGATCACTCCGTCAGGCACAGGCCCTGGAGCAGGACTTCCTAGAAGACAAGTAGCATTGTACAGCCTTGAACATGAACAACAAGCAGACCAGGTCATGAGGCAGCCAAACAGCAGGTCAAAGCACAGCAAAAATGGCAGGGAGGGCAGGAGGGAAGAGAATATACTTTTCTTGTATGTATTTGATCTGTTTAATTGCTATAACCAGCTGACATTCCAAAGCTTATTTCACATGGATAATTTACATCTTAACTTGGACAGCAGAGAAAAAGCAAGCAAAGATGTGTTATGGGCCAAAGACCGTTTCTCAATTTGGCCTCTGGCAAGGAATCAGACAAGATACAACCAGATGAACCAAAGTCCAATTTTATTGAAATAAGCAATACAGCAATCATTATTTTAGACTACACAGAGAAGTCATTGAACTCCACAAACACTAGCAGAGCTTCAAAAAAATAAATAAAAGAAGTCTAAAACTCAACAAAGTCTGGCTCCCAGCACTGAAAAAGGTCAAAAAACTCTACCCAGCCACAAGGATCTGTGATCACTGCACAAAAAAAGACTAGCTAATGACATCTCCTGAAAGGACAAAAAGCTGATCCCAGAGCTACAAATACTCAACTATCCCACACACTACACCAGAACAGAGTTCTAACTCCTGTCCTCTGAAGATGCCAGCCACAGAGACTGGCGAAACGTTAGGAAGAAAACCTTCAGAACACGGCCAAAGAGCCCGAAAAACCCACAACAACCATTAGATCCCGGCCATGAAAACCTTTGAGAATACAGTGGTGCCTCGCATTACGAGCACTCCGTTTTACGACAAAATCACTTTACATTGAAGGTTTTGCGATCGCAAAAGCGATCGCAAAACAATGTTCCCTATGAGGGGAATTTCACTTTGCAATGATCGGTTCCCTATTTGGGAACTGATTCTCACAAAGCGATGATTTTCAGCCAGCTGATCAGCGGTTTCAAAATGGCCACCAGGTAAAAAGCATGGCTCCCCGCTCTTTTCTGGGACAGATTCCTCGCTGCACAGGCAGCAAAAATGGCTGTGCTATGGAGGATCTTCGCTGGACGGTGAGTTTCAAGCCCCTAGGAATGCATTAGTAAAGGTAAAGGTAAAGGTTCCCCTTGACAATTTTTGTCCAGTCGTGTCCGACTCTAGGGGGCGGCGCTCATCCCGCTCTTCAAGCCATAGAGCCAGCGTTTGTCCGAAGACAATCTTTCCATGGTCACATGGCCAGTGTGATTTAGACACGGAACGCTGTTTACCTTCCCACCGAGATGGTACCTATTTATCTACTCGCATTTGCATGCTTTCGAACCGCTAGGTTGGCGGGAGCTGGGACAAGCAACAGGCGCTCACTCCGTCGCGTGGATTCGATCTTACGACTGCTTGGTCTTCTGACCCTGCAGCACAGGCTTCTGCGGTTTAGCCCACAATCGGGTTTTAATGCGTTTCTATGGGCTTTTTAATTTCGCATTATGACGTTTTCGTTCTACAGCGATTTTGCTGGAACGAATTAATGTCGTAATGCGAGGCACCACTGTACAAAGGCCATAAAGTTCTAGAATTCTATTGGTCAGCTTCTCCTAAAATTAGGATCTTGGCCCCAATTGGGTAATGCCAAGAATTACAAGATTATTGGTCCCCTGTAGGTATAGAGGGGCATATATAAGATGTCCCAATTCCCCTTTGGCTTGCCCCCCAAGACGTGCCTCACTATCTGGAGGAATGTGTATTCCATCTCCCTTATCTTTATGTTGCCTTCCTGGGCCTGAATGTATATGATTTTCAGCCTCCAGCTCCCTCATGATTTTATGTTGCAACTATCTCCTCATTGTGTCCTGACAACATTCCTAAGCCTGGCCATCTGGTGGTTCAAAGGTGAGTGGGTGGAAGATGAGAGACAAGAAATACCTTATAATAAAACAGGGTACATTATTCTAGTTATTTCTAAAAGCCTTTCTGCTTCTAAAACTGTGTTTGTGCATATTCAGGTATCAGATGTCAAGCTGCATACTTCAGAATAATCCTACTGCACTCACTGCTGAGTGGGTACAAAACAAACAGTTTTGAATAAATGTTATTCACATATTCGGACAACAGACTGCAATCATATACACATCTACCCGAGTGTAAACCCCCTAGATTCAAGGGGACTTGATTCTAAGTAGCCACATACAGGACTGCATCACACATTTATCTAGCACTGTATGTTTTGATTTATAATCCTTGTTTTCCATCCCGCAAGCAATTATGGGACCCAATACCTCTGTTCACTAGTCTGCAGGGAACGATGGACAAATTCTGGTAATATATTTCTTGGGACAAAATCCTGTTGGGTTTTACTTAGGTTGCAGTTGCAAATTGCAGCTAAGTGGCAAACTGTCGCTAAGAAGTACGATATTTATTAGTATTATTAAGTAATAAGATACTGTACAATTGCACTCATTTCACACGCTAGCAAGGTTATGCTCAAAATCCTACAAGGTAGGCTTCAGCAGTATGTGGACCGAGAGCTCCCAGAAGTACAAGCTGGATTCCGAAGGGGCAGAGGAACTCGAGACCAGATTGCCAACATGCGCTGGATTATGGAGAAAGCCAGAGAGTTCCAGAAAAACATCTGCTTCATCACCTTGCCAATGTCTCTGCTTTTTAAGATGCTGTCTAGGTTTGTCATCGCTTTCCTTCCAAGAAGCAGGCGTATTTTAATTTCATGGCTGCTGTCACCATCTGCAGTGATCATGGAGCCCAAGAAAGTAAAATTTGTCACTGTTATGATAACTTACTGTCATTAGTAAGTTAACTAACAGTAAAACTAACAAGAGAATTCTGTAAAGGCTGTGCATCAGAATCATACAATTTTAGAACTGGAAGGGTACCCAAGGGTCATCTAGTCCAATCCCTGCCAACGCAGAAAATCCACCACTAGAGCATCCCTGACAGATGGCCATTCCAGCTGCATTTAAAAACATGCAACAAGGGAAAATATGAATTAAAGTGATACTATACAAAGTAGCAGTAACACACCTAGGGCTATAAATAATGTTCTTTAGACATAAAGACTGGCTTCTAGTAACAAAGTTATGCCACGTAAAGCTGATGGTGAAACCTGAAGTCTACTGGGGGGCGGGGCGGAGAATCAGCGGCTATCAGCATCGGCCTCAGAGGACCACATGCGGCGCTGAGGCCCCCACTTTGCCCATTGGTACTTTCGAAAGACGCCACGTCCAAATGAAGTTGTCCTCACGGCAACCCGTTCCCCGCCCTCTCGTCCACAGGCCCCACAAGCCCTCCTCCAGATGCCATCCAGCTGGCAATAAATTGGGTGGGTCCCCTTTGGCGGAAGCCTCGACGCCCTTCCGTACAAGCAAGCCCCAACCCCCCGCGCAAACACGCCGCCGGGCAAACTCGGCCGATCTGCTTCCGAATTTAAAGCAGCCTCCCGCCTTCTCTCTCTCTCTCTCTCTGTTTTTTAAAGACAGACATAAAAATCGTCTTCACATACAGGAGCCCAGCTACTCCCAGGCGGGAAAAGGAAGGGGAAAAAGAGGAGCCATCGGCAGCTTGGAAGCAAGCGCGGGGCGGAGCTGTACGGCACTACTAAACAAGTACAAGCCGCAGCCTGGCAACCAGCCTTCCCGAGAAAGCAACCGAGAGGCTCCCGGCTCCTTCGGCCGCTCACCTTTTCCTAAGCTGCGAACAAATTTCCCCGGCATCCTTCCGCCTGGCGCCACAAAGCCCAACTGCACACTCCGTGTCTCCGCCTCGTCCTTTTCCAGCCCAGCAACTAAGAGGCTTGGTTTGACTCCACCCGCTTCGTTATTAGGTCAGAACTCCCTTAAAGTGGAAGGCGCCGGAATCGCCAGCGGCTGCGTTGCAAGCCTGGAGGCCTGTTTTTTTGGACATCGCATAGGAACCAATGTCGAGTGAACGCCGTGAGATGCAGCCGGAAACTGCCAAGGATTTGGGCAGCAAAACTTCGTGCCTAAACAGACGACGAGATCCGTTCCCTCCACAACTCTACGTTGTATTAGCAAAAAGGGTCTCTCTCTCTCTCTGTGTGTGTGGATTTTAATCCAGAACGCTGCCACAGAAACAAATGTATAAGCTTAAAGTGCCACAATATGTAGTCCTTTCCCCCTTTTATTTTGGCAATATGTTGACAAAGTGCCACAATATGTAGTCCTTCCCCCCCTCCCGTTTCCCCCTTTTATTTTGGCAATATGTTGAGACACATGAACAGAGATACTTCTTTGGAATATATTTTATATCTCGAATACAGGCTGTTTCTATTTTGCCATTTAGCGCTGGGCATACCAGTTAATTCTGGACCTGAACTCATACATTCAGCCTGATAATCTTTGTGAATATGTTTGCAAGCTACATATGCAGCAAACCTTTACCCAAAGATTGTTTTCTCATGGAGGAGTTGATCTTGAATATCTGCATAACATAGTACATTACTTCATGAGATGCTCATGAATTTTCCTCTTAATTGTTCAGTGAAAAAGGAAAAAAAATACATCCCTGGCGGTGATATTGAAACAGAGTGTTTTTCTTCATTTTTAAAACAAAAATAGAGATTGGAAGCATATTGATGGCACATGCTGAAAGCCATAACTGGCTTTTGTATTTAACACAGAGAACAAGAAGTGGCCAAGAAAATGGGCATTTAGATTACTCAAATGTCCACAATGATAATGAAGTATTTCTCACTACTTCATGACTACGTGTTACCTTTTACAATAGGAGTGAGGAAATTATGACCCTCCATATATATGTGTGTGAACTATTGTTTCATACCCCGAAACATCAATTGTGCCATCTAGAGCTGATGAGTCCTGGAATCCTTAACAAAACCAGGAACATCAGAAGCACTCCAGTCAAATTTTGGAAAGTCTTTTCATAAAGTGGGGGAAAACCAGGAAAATGCATTGATTATTAAAACCAGTAAATGCCTGTTATAAAAATAGTATAACTAAAACAAGTTCAAAACGCTTTAACCAATTTATAAAATGGTTGTGAATCTGCTTTTGGCAAGGAGATTATTAGAGCAGCAGCACATACCCATGTTTGCCTTTTGACTGATCTGGGCAGGGCTGCTATTCAGCAATCATAATGACTCAGCTGTTCTTCATACACAGCTACCCTCACTATCTTTGGTTGGGTTCTGTAGCTTCCTTATTGTCAACAAGTCTGTTTTCGGTTTCCAGCACTGTTGAAACATGTTTTTCTTGTTTTCATGTGTGCATCGGTTTGCAAAAGAAAATTTGTGTTGAATGGTTCCAAACATGCTAGAAACATATTAGAAAACAATTTGTTCAGGTCTGTATACTTTCAGACTGTTGAATGTACAATAATTACATAAATCTGCTTGTTAATCACAGTTAAGGGGACACATTGAATCAATAGGATTTACATGAGTGTTGATTTACCATTCAAAAACAGACGCAATGGGTCTGCTGTAGTTGAGACTAACAAAGAGGTTAAGGCCAATGTTGCCAAACATAATGTGCAACTACATTGCATATCTATAGCAGTTTGTTGCCACCCTAACAGTCATGCTTCATCCAACTGCATCCTGGGATTTTTAGTTTGTTCAGACACTTGGAATTCCATGGTGTTGTTTGGGGGGAATGCAGCTCTATTTCCCTTCATGGATTGCTACCGTTATGTGGCGAAGGGGGTTGAGTAATTCAGAGAAGCTATGAGCTATGCCATGCAGGAACACCCAAGATGGACAGGTCATAGTGGAGAGTTCCAACTAAATGTGATTCACCTGGAGCAGAAATTGGCAAGCCACTCCAGTAACTTTGCCAAAAACAAAATGAACAGAAACAAAAGGCTAAAAGATATGACGCTGGAAGATGAGCCCCTCAGGTTGGAAGGCATCCAACATGCTACTGAGGAAGAGCGGAGGACAAGCACAAGTAGCTCCAGAGCTAATGAAGTGGTTGGGCCAAAGTCGAAAGGACGCTCAGCTGTGGACGCGCCTGGAAGTGAAAGGAAAGTCCGATGTTGCAAAGAAAAATACCGCATAGGGACCTGGGATGTAAGATCTATGAACCTTGGTAAGCTGGAGGTGGTCAAACAGGAGATGGCAAGAATAAACATTGACATCCTGGGCATCAGTGAACTAAAATGGATGATTATCTTATCTACTATTGTGGGCAAGAATCCCATAGAAGGAATGGAGTAGCCCTCTTAGTCAACAAAAGAGTGGGAAAAGCTGCACTGGGATACAATCTCAAAATAGAATGATTTCAATACAAATCCAAGGCAGACCTTTCAACAACACAATAATCCAAGCTTATGCACCAACCACCATTGCTGAGGAGACTGAAATTGAACAGTTTTATGAAGATTTACAACACCTTCTAGAACTGACACCAAAGAAAGAT